TTTTTTTTTTTTTTTGTAATTTTTTATTTTCTTTTTTTGATTTTTAATTTTTTTTATGATTTTTTTCATTTGCTTTACGATTTTAAATTTTTTTTTTTTTTTTTTTTTGCAATTTTTAAATTTGTTTAAATTTATTATTATTTATTTTTATTTTTTTAATTTTTTTTTACGATTTTTAATCAATTTTTTAATAATTATTTTTTTTTTTACGATTTCACTATTTTTCCTTTTCTTTTTTTTATAGGATGATATGAAAATTTTGTTAAAAACGCTCTCCAAAAAATATGCACTAAGGGTAGATAAAGTTTTTCTGAACCTGAACAATCGAGACACTCTTAAAATTTTACTGCCAGAATTGATTCGATTATTGGCATCGACTTATACTCCTACCTGAAAAAAGAATTAGGATTGGTTAGATGCTTTATACCAGCACCAAAGGGGTCAGTATAAGAAAGCTTAGGCAAAAAAATTAGAAATCAAAAAAAGATAATAAAAAATTACAAAAAAGAAAACAAAAATTGTAAAAAAAGAATTGTATAAAAGAAAAAATATTTAATCACAAAAAATTAATAAACCTGTAAAAAGAAATTTAATCATAAAAAAAATTAATAAAACAGTAAAAAAAAAAATTAAAATCGTCGTAAAAAATAAATTAAAATAAAAATTATAAAAAAAAGAAAAGAATTTTAATTATAAAAAAAATTAAAAAATTGAAAAAAGAAAAAAAAAAGAAGAAAAAGAAATGAAAAGAAAAAAAGAACATAATTCAAAGTCGAACATATAAAATAATAAGTTATAAAAAAGAAAAAATCGTATTAATAAAATAATAAACTATAAAAAACAAATTAAAACTCATAAAAAAGATAAAAATCGTAAAATAAATTAATATCAATAAATATAAAATAATATAAAAAAAGAAAAAAATCGTAAAAAAAAATATATAAAAAAAAGTAAAATAAAAATTGTACAAAAAATTGTAAAATTAAAAATCTTAAAAAAAAAAATCTTAAAAAAAAATCTTAAAAAAAAAAATCTTAAAAAAAAAAAATTAATAGTTGTAAAATTCAATATTAACATTACCCTAGCAGCTTTCAGGTCAAAAGACCTTGTTTCAGGTGGCAGTGGTTTATGATCAAATGATTTCTTTTCAACTTCACCTTTGCCTTCACTTTTTTCGTCACTTTTGAAAATATCAGAATCTAACTGTATGTCTGATTCTTTATCTAATTTATCATTAATCATAACTAAAGTTTCTATTTCCTTCTTTATATCTCGATTTGTAGCCTCCAAATCTGAGATTTGGCACCTTAGCTGTGCAATCTCTTCATGTAAAGTATTGTTTTCTACAAAAAAAAAAAAAAAACCAAAAAAAAATTGTTAAATAAAATTACAATAAGTAAAAAAAGATTATTAATATTTATTGACTTAATTTTGGAATTATTATAACTTTTGACTATCGTTTTCTAATCCATATCACTCGGCATATTACAATGCCGAGTGATATAGATTAGAAAATGGTGCTGAAAAAAAAATCATATCTGAATTTTTTGTAAACCTGCTTCTAGATCTTCAGATAATCTTTGTCATGAAAGGCTTTGTTGTCTTTGAGGACTTGTACTTCCAGGTAATCGAAGTGTAGAATATTGTTGCCTTAACGTAGATATAGCCGAAGGAGAGATGATAACAACAGGAGATATAGTGGAAGAAGTAAGATGAATGGGTGTTGAAGGTATTATGGGAGAAGTGGGTGTTGAAGGTGTTGTGGGAGAAGTGGGCTGAATAGAAGTTAAAGGTCTAGTGAAAAAGGTAGGCAAAATAGGTGTTGAAGGTCTAGCAGGAGAGGTGAGCTGAATAGATCTAATAGGTGAAGGAGTGCTGATTTGAAATAATTAGCCTGTTCTTCGATGAGTTGTGGTTGAAAATAAAGTTTCAGGTGAAGGTAATGGTTAAAGGTATTGTTTCGATTATGACATGAGGTTGATGTTCGGTGATGCGAGATTGAGGTTCGGTGACATGAAGTTGCGGTTTAGTGATGTAAGATTGAGGTTCGGTGATGTGAGATTGAGGTTCGGTTGTAGGGCGTCTTGAGATTTTTCATGGTTTTTTTTGGTTGTCTTGACATTGTAAAGGAAAATATATATTGGGGAAAAAAATATTGGAGGAAAAAATATGTAAAAA